GTGTGTGTGTGTGTGTGTGTGTGTGTGTGTGTGTGTGTGTATGTGTGTTCATTTGTCCGGGTATTTCAACTCGTCAACCACGCAAGCTTTGAAGCTGAAATTTCGTCAGTGTGTACCCTGGCCAAATGCCATCTCAGAGCCGCAGTACGAATCCTCGTATATGTCGAAGCCCCGCGTACGACCACGTGAAAGTTTTGGCGAGGAAATTACTAGCTCGGGGACGAGAAAAGCTGGAAAGCTGGAACATTTGAGGAGTGCTCCCTACCTGTGTGTGACTAGAAGAATTCAAATTCAACGGTATAGGACTACTCGGGGCTTACGTACGGGCAGGTTAAAATTATGGCGGGAAAATTCATAACTCGGAAATGAGAAAAGCTAGAAAATCGAAATTTTGGCAGAATGTTTCCTAATCAAATACGACTAAAAGATTTCAAATTCAGTTGCCTGGGATTGTCCGGGACTCATCTTTGTTTCAAGTACGTGGAAATTTTGGCGGGAAAACCATTAACTCGGGAACGAGAAAAGTTTGAAAGCTGAAACTATACGAGAATGTTCCCCACTCATGTACGACCAAAATCAGGTGTTTAGGTGTTTAGAAGCGTCTGGTACTCACGTACGGACAAGCGGAAATTTTGATGGGAAAACTGCTAACTCGGGAACGAGAAAAGCTGGAAGGCTTTAATTTTAAGGGAATGTTCCCTCTCATGTGCGACTAAAAGATTTCAAATTTAACTCTTCTAGTGCGGCCTTTTTCATGGATTAGCAACTTTCTATTTGTCGGGTCACTGAAGCCGGCATCTACAACTGACATGCCACATAGCTGCACAATTAACTTCCCAAACTTCATGAGCCAGTATGTCACAGGGCTAGCTACTATGATTCCTTGCGATCTTACTACGGCACGGAAAGTGCAAAAATGCGTGACTACACCGGTCCTCCTGCTGCATTCCGGCCTGGGTTATCGTTGAGTGTATTTTATTGTGATATCTTCTGTTTGTTAGGAAAAGTTAGAACCTTCCTAGCACACCTTACTTTCTTCTTTGAGGGCCATAAGGTCAGTACGTTACGCATTCGACGATAGTCTATCAAGTTTCCTCTTTCTGCCTGTCTTCTAATTCTGTACACAACACATGCTTCTAATAAGTTAACTTGATCGATGAATAAAGAGTGGAATTCCTTATACCGTAAAGGTCCAGTAAGCGTGCGTAGCCCAGATCAACTCTCCACGATCGTAAATGATCACATAGCAATCCGCATCCACTCCCAAGCCGCGCGCATATCGTTGAAATTGAAGTGGATGGATAGGTGCGCCGTTTTCGCTCAAATTCGAGAATTGAAGCAAACGAGCTGATTCAATGTGTTCCTCGCGGTATTCTCTCCTTAATGAACTTTAAATTTAATGGCAGTCGCAAGCTGGTTGTTGTGCCTCGGTATCAGCTTTTTGATAACTGGATCGATAGAAACCATACAAATTTTGTAAATTAACCTTGATTCTTCGATTCGATCGGTACTCGCTTCAAATAAACATAACTTCCGTTTCGTTATCATCAGCGTTAGCAGGAAACTAGACGTAACTTCCATATCTACTTTTGGTTTTGTTGCAGACAGACTGAAACTGCTTTGCTCATCGTCTTCATATTGTTTTCTTTGGGCCTAAATTTTTCGAGTTTTACTTCCGGCATATGACACTGAATAGCTAACAATTAGAACTTCCAAAAGTTTGTGAAAACTGAGGAAATATAAAAAAACAGCTGTGCGCATAGCAGCAGACGATCCGAATGTGAGTCATCTAAAGAGACTGTCTCCCCGCCAAAAGTTTTTACGACATCATTTAGGTGTACGCACCTGTCGTTTAAGCATATAAGAACGTTGTTTTCAGAAGAGGGGGGAGGTGGGGAAGCTGGTGGACTGGAGTGTGGGAGAAGATGATGTGCAACGTGGGAATACGCTCTTATAATTTCAGCTTCCTATTTACTTTGTTTGCTGAGTTGAAAGCGGGTGACAAAATCCGAATGCGGATATACAAATACATATATGCACACATCACACATTCAGTCCGTCTTAACAATATGTTTTTGCATTGCATCAACTATGCTAATCAACAAATAACAAGTCAATAAGTCAAATATTGCATATTCCTAACACAATCAATTCGAACCGATCTTATTTAAAGTCCAGACGTATGCAAAAGTTTATTTAAAGCTGTTTGGATGGTACGTAGGCTAGAAATATCCTTGTAAAACTCCAGCTTTATAGCTTCTGCGATAGATGAATTGAAATTGAGTGACGAAATGTGAGCACATGAACGCACACACAAGCGTATATGAAGAGATTTTATTCGGTTTTCCATGTATGCAAATGCAACCCAGGCTGGAATCCAGCAGGATTGCCGCTGCGGTCATGTGTTTTTGCACCGAACTCGCAGGTCGCTAATAGTAGGAATGATCCCTGCGTTGTAGTTTAAAACTTGGCTCATACTGGCCGTGCTTTGGCCCCTTCCGGCATGCAGAAGAAAGGGCGTATGGTTGGGATGAAGGTGTAGCATTATAGGGCTGCATGAACCTCCAGGAACATGACTGCCAGTTTTTTTGCATGAAGCCCGGCCGTTTTTTCAGCATTTGCTCGCTTTTTGAAAAGACGAAAAGTGCAAATTTCTCGAAAAAGTGCAGATTTCCAGTTCGCTAACCCAGGCTGGAACTCACCGGATGGACCCATGCGACCATATTTTCTTGCACCGGGCTTGAAGTACTCAGGTAATTAACTGCATGAACGGTTGTTGCTTTACACTTACCTTTTGCGGCCAATAGCATAAATTACCGCATATTTTGTACAAAGTAAATGTGAAATTTCCATTTAACGCTTGTTCTTTAAAAGTAACTTAGCTGTCTACTGAGAAATTTTTCCGCCAAAACTTTTAAGTGCCCGTATGTAACAACCACGCATGCCTCAAGGCTGAATTTAAAATACTCAAGTTGTATTTGGACAGGGAACACCCCCTTAAAGTTTCAGCCTTTCAGCTTTTCTTGTTGCCGAGTTAGTAATTTTCCGGCCAAAACCTTTACATGCCTGTATTTGGGTACTCCACGTGCCTGGGGAGCTGAATTTGAAATTTTTAAATTGCACATTAACAGGAAACATCTCCCTAAAATTTCAGCCTTCTAGCTTGTCTAGCTGCCGAGTTAGTAATTTTCCCGAAGAAACTTTCATACGCCCTTACGTGAGTACCACGCACAGCTTGGGGCTGGATTTGAAATATTTGAGTTGTACTTGGGCAGGGAACATTCTCCCAAAATTTCGGCGTTTCAGCTTTTCTAGTTATCTAGCTAGCAATTTTCTTGCCAAAACCTTTACATGCCCGTATGTGGGCACCCTACGTGCCTGGAAAGCTGAATTTGAAATTTCTAAATTGCAAATGGATAGGGAACACCACCCCAAAATTTCAGTCTTCCAGCTTTTCTGGTTGCCGAGTTAGTAATTTTCCTGCAGAAAATTTCATATGCCGTTACGTGAGTAACACGCATAGCTTGGAGCTGAATTTGAAATATTTGAGTTGTACTTGAGTAGGAAACATTGTTCCAAAATTTCAGCTTTCTGGCTGTCCTGGTTCCCGAGTTAGCGATTTTACATTAAAACTTTCATACGCCCTTACGTGAGTAACACGCATACTTGGGAGCTGAATTTGAAATGTTTAGCTTGAATAAAATTTCAGCCCCTTAGCTTGTGTGGCTCCTGAGATCGCCTTCCCACCAAAAAATTCGCACGTTTTTTTAAAGCGTCCATATGTGACACCCATGCGTCCGCGGGGGACAAAATTAAAAAGAGAGGGTCGCATACAGTGTGGGCACATAATCCCAAAGACTCATCCTTTTAGCTTTTCTGGTTCTCGTGTTGAAAGTTGGTGACAAAAAGTGCAAACACACAGACACACAAACACACACACAGAGCCTCTTCCCGATATGCGTTTTTGCAATTTACGTATATGCAAAAACGCATAAAAAAGTAGAAATGTTGCTGGAGCGGTATTTGTCAAAAAATCCAAGTACGCAAACGAACTGAACGTTCATTCACGTATTTCGATGATTCGCTGCAAAACGCATTCGTTTCTGGTTTTTCGGTAAAGTTGAGTATTTCTCATGCCCACCTCCAGGGAATTTCATCTCCAAGCAGAATTAAAATCGCACTCGAACGTAAAATAGTCCAGCGAATTTTACCCTCGCACTTTATCCTGTAAGCGAAATATCCACTTCGCTACAAATGTTATTGAAGCGCCCTAAGTCGCGGTGCAAGTGCAAATCGGTGCTCTTTTTTGGTTTAAAATTTCCCATGTGAGCGACAATAATGCTGACAAAACCCATGTGGGTGACACTGTTTTCCAGCATGTTTTCGAGTTAGCACACTACCAGTTTGCAAACTTTGACGTGGTCCTACGCTCTGCACAAGCGCACGCGACAGCTGAATTTGAAATCTTTAGCTCGCACATACATAGAGAATATTCCTGCAAAGTTTTAGTTTCGCATATTTCCAGGTTCGCAAAATCATTTCCCGCTAAGGAAATTTGCAAATCTTTTTCGGAGGTCCGTACGTAGGATCTAGGCGCGTATGGGTGAAGAACTTAGAGCGGAAGGGTGACACACGGCGTAGGAACATATGCCCAAAATTTTAGCCTCTCAGCTTTCCTGGTTGCTTAGATGAAAGTGGGTGACAAAATTTACTCGCTTCCGAACACACACACACACACACACCCACACGCACACAGACAACCTCTCGAATAAGCGTTTTTATGAGCTTTTGCCGTGCAGCGCTAGAGCACTGCAACAGGCAGCAAAAACGCACATTGCAACGACCCTGTCAGTATGTGTATGTGTGTGTACGTTTGTGTGCCTGTGTTCGTCTGTCCGGGTATTTCAACTCCCCAAACACGCAAGCTTTGAAACTAAAATTTTGCTAGTGTGTTTCCCAGCCAAGTGCCATCCCAGGATCGCGGTATCAACTCTCATGTACGTCTGGGCCCCGCGTACGAAGGGGTGAAAATTTTGGCGCGAAAATCATTAACCCAGGAACGAAAAAAGCTAGAAAGCTGAAACTTTAGGGTAATGTCCCCTACTCATGTATGACCAAAAGA